CTGCATCATCATGGTTCCATTCCCAGCCCTTTGTCTCATCGAACACTACATCGCGACTTACCACAATTTTCCTTGTTTTAGGGTCAAGCAAGCGGTATGCCTTTGAACCTGGCTCAGTCCCTAGGTGTATGAGAATACGTGTCCGATCATCCAATTTCTTCAAGTGTGGCTTGTCTATCTTAGCATAAGCGATACACCCGAAGATTCGTACATGCTCGACATCAGGTTTCTTTGATCGAAACGATTCATATGGTGTTTGTTCCTTAAGCGCTCGTGTTAAGACCCGGTTCAAGAGATAAGTCGTGTGTCGAATGGCTTCTCCCCAAAGGTAGTTAGGCATTCGCATATGTTTTAACATGCTTCTTGTCATCTCCATCATTGTTCTGTTCCTTCTTTCCACTACACCATTTTGTTGTGGTGTGTAAGGAGCGGTTAGATGCCTTTTAATGCCATGTTCCTCACAATAAGAGTTAAACTCTATTGACACGAATTCTCCTCCTCGATCCGTTCTAAAAGTCTGAATCTTCTCTCCCGTTTCCTTCTCCACCATAGTTTTAAAGTTCTTGAACTTAGAGAAAGCATCTCCTTTTTCTTTTAGAAGAATGCTCCACATGTAGCGAGAGTGATCATCAATAAGTACAAAAATATACCTATTTCCAGCACTTGTACTTGGTGTTATTGGACCACAGAGATCACCATGGACTAGTTCAAGAAGTTTTGTTGCTCTATAGCTTGTTGCTTGTGGAAAAACTTGTCGGGTCTGTTTTCCGAGAAGACACGAGCTACACACCTCTTTCTCAATAGTAATGTTTGGAACTCCTAGAACCAATTCCTTGTCCAACATTGCTTTTAAAGTGGTGAGATTCACATGACCCATACGAGCATGCCATTTACTTGTCTCGGTCATGCTTGTTAGATACAAACACGCATTGTCTCGTAGCATCATCCGGACTTTGTACAAGCGATTCTTGGACCTTTTTGCCTTTACTAGAAGCTTTCCCTCACGGTCACACATAGTTAGGTAATCTTATTTGAGTTCTATGGTGCATCCGGATTCCGTAGCTTGTCCAAGGCTGACGATATTGCTTTTTAGGTCAGGTATAAAGTATACGTCGGTAAGCATTCTTGATGTTCCATGCAAATCAACAAATGCAATCGTTCCTTTCCCTTTGATATCGATTCTTGAATCATCTCCGAACCTCACTGTTCCGGTGACTGAGCTATCCATTGAATCAAAATACCGTCTATCTCCAGTCATATGGTTGCTTGCCCCATTGTCAAGGTACCAAATGTTTTCTTCATCAGAATTCGTCTCAAACTTGCTGGGCACGCAATGCTTCTCATTCAAGTAGACAGTCTCATGTAACATGAGTTCATCTGCTGTCTCATGTAACATGAGTTCATCTGCTGTTTGTGTGTCTTTAGCATCCACCTTCTCATTCTCTTGTGCTTCTTGCAACTTAAGTAGGCGATCAGGACATGAGGAAGCATAGTGGCCAAGTTTATCGCATCGAAAGCAAGTTATTTGCGACAAATCTCTTCCACCATTCCTTCCACGACCTCGTCCTCTTGAAGAACCTCGACTCCCTCTTCCACGTCCTCTTGTATC